TGAGGTGACGGTTATTGACTGGAGAAACCTGGAATTGACTGACAGAGAATAAATATGAAAACATCATTGTGAGCAATTCATTGTAGTGGTCAAAAGTACTGAGGTACTTGTTAACAGCCCAAAGGAATAATTTATTGCATGTTCTCGTTCAAGTAAAGTTATTTCTACATTAGTATTTTACATATGATGGCAAATAGAGGTGGGCGTGGCCTGAATGCCGAGGCCACACCCACCAACAACAAGCTCCAGCTGTCTCTGTGGCGCAATTGGTTAGCGCGTTCGGCTGTTAACCGAAAGGTTGGTGGTTCGAGCCCACCCAGGGACGGTTTTGTGTTTGAGTAACAAAATGATGGGAAAAACGACGTCTTTCTCAGACAGTTATGGGTTACAGATGTGTGCGAAATTCTAAGAACATAGGTCTGTCCTTCACAATACATGTATACTACCAGCAGTATATGTGATTTACAGTCATGTAGGTTATACTGAACTTAATGTTCCTGTGAAATCCTTTTCCCGCCTGCTGGACTGTCTGCATCCCACAGAATCTATCTCTGCCACTGGTGGTTCAGGTGTAAACAGAGCTTTCCCTGTGCTGAATGATGACTCATGCAGCTAAACACCGTCCCAGAACTTTCCTCCTTGTCCAGCACACGCCCACATTATGCAACAGTGGGCCTTACTCTTGGGCAGGTGTTCGTACCACGAACTTGACATGCTGCGCACGGTGCTAGAATCTTATGAAAACAGTTGCTGTGTATTTAATGGTTAAATCAGCCTTACCACATACTTATGTAATCATCATGGTAGTAACTAAATGTCTTCCTGGTCTGCAGGGTTGGAAGCAGGCTTTAGGTAGACCCAATGGGGGCTGAAGGGTTGATGTAATTTTAGTTCTGTTTCGTGTTTCGTGGATTTAGTGAGTCATACGGAGAGCACACTGACGGTCTTTGTTTACATCGCTTTAGTGTATTCACAACTGGGGCTAACTCTGAATCTGCAAGGTTCCACAGTGGTCGTTTAATTAATTGTTTTGCCATTTATAGACTCTTTAGGAATATTTTGTTTGGGATACAAAGTGTGGCATTGCTTCAAAACTGGAACTACTGGTACTTTTAAAATACCTTACAATTAATTTCATGTAGTTATTCTGTTAGGTAGAAAAGTTAAAAACAAACAAACAAACAAACAAACAGGCCTAAATAAACACCTTCATATTCTTTGAAAACCTGCAGGATTCACAGTTTCAAAGCTGTAATCCGTGAATTGTTGACATTTTGGCTTAAAAAGGTGAGTTATGTTATAATTAGTATAACTTTTTTATTCTCTTATTGCCTACTTTTACTGCTTGAACAACCACTTTTGCCCACACAAGCTTATATTGGTACCGTCATTTTCTTTCTTTTTGCAACATATTTAAAGATCATTTTAAAACAACTGCATCCTTATTAGTGGTTATATTTTTAACATAATTTACCACAAATGTAGACATTTAAAGGTATTAAAAGTAATCAATACACATATTGGATCCCTTTGTAGTGTCATATTATTTTCTACTTTATGTTATACAACCTAATAGTTATTGGCAATGCATAACCAATGAATCTGCATTTTAATGTTGTTGCTGGTAAAACCTGAGATGTTAGACAGGTAGTTTTAAAAAGTTTAATTCAGCAAAGTAACTGGTAACTGTGCTTGTCAGAAGACTACAGTGAAGTAAACAGTAGAAGGTTAATCTACCTCAAAAATGTGTTGTCATAGAAGCGAGCGGGAAAAAATCTGAAAAATGTGAATACCGAAGTTGAGTGGGTACAAAAAGTGTGCTAGTATTTATTTTATTTTTAGAGATGCTTATTCAATGACATATGCTCAGACACATGTTTAGCACAACTTTGGCAACTGCTGACATGGAAAAAAAAAAAACCTCCACACAGGTAGCAGTGTGTGCTCTGGGAGGCTTTGTGTTCCCCATAAAACCCTCTGCACAGAACGATTAACTGGTCGGTAAAAACTCTGGTTAAATAGATCAAGTCTTGGATATAAAATACACTTTCTATGCATTTCGACCTTCACAGTGCAGCATCTCCTTGCTCCACTGTTACTGTAATTACTGTTTATGTTCAGGTTATTCCCACTGAGTTATGAAATTGGAGTCTCAGTGGGATGCATGAAAATGCAATGCAGCAATATAACATAAGTACCAGAAAATGCATCAGAAATCATCATGAAATATCTACAATGTGTATAGGATATAGTTATGTACAAAAAGTTTTGTTGCAGTTATTCTGAGCCTCTTCTGAAGATTGCACAAGTACCACAGAACATTTTTAATAAATCTCAGATGTATCAGACAATTAATTTCCATCTTAACATCTGGAATGTATAAAAAAAAAAAAAAAAGAAAAGCAGTTACCAAACTCTTAAGGAATCTTGGTGCAATAAAACTGTTGCACCAAAGCAAAGATTTAGCTTCTAATCTGTCTTTGTTTATATAAAATAGGTGTAAATGCAGAGTGGACGCACCTCCGCTGATGTTGTAGAATAAAGTTGCTGCTGGTTGGGGTCGGTCTGCTGCTGCTGCTGCTGCTGGTGGTGGTGGTGGTGCTGCTGCTGCTCCGACCAAGAGCCTCCTGCTTCTGCTTATATACCCCCAGGAGGCAAGGAAGAGCTCCACATGTGTGTGTATTTGTGTATTTGTGTGTCTAAGTATTTGCAGAGAAACAGTGTTGCAGTGGGTGTAACTGGTCAGTCCAACTTGGGAGCAGGATGTGGAATGTACCATCTCTTTACAACCCACAGCTGGATGGGGCTCAGACAGATAAAGTCACTGACTAAGATTCTGTCTCGAAATATTTAGGAACACAGTTTAACACACTTGCACACTTAACCCTTTCCACCCTGGAGGTCCCTGCACTGTAACCAGGCTGCAACAGTTGTTAAACCAGAGCCACTTTTCAAAGGTTACATAGCATGACACTTCCCCTGAAGAGGCTGTCTGGTACTCATCTGACCACAGTGGATGTAGCATTTGTTGTGCTTTGCTTCTGCTGCACCAAATTGGACTGAGTGTATCTCATAGTCATTCCAGGGTGAGGAAAAAACAAAACACTGACCAGGCAATTAACTAATCAGACAGTCATCAGCAGTGTGGCCTTGAAAATGAAAATGAATTAATTACAAGTTGGACAACAACTGAAACTGGCAAAATACCAACAAGAAGAACAGCATGCACAGCCATGAACTCTACATGCCTAGAGAAGCATTGAGATTTTTTCACAACAGCAACATTTTTTAGGAAACAACAATATATAACAAATGCTGGTATAGGTAGGTGTCCAGGCCACGCCCACCACAAGTAACAGGTGTCTCTGTGGCGCAATCGGTTAGCGCGTTCGGCTGTTAACCGAAAGGTTGGTGGTTCGAGCCCACCCAGGGACGTTTTGTGACTAACTAACTGGCTATGATCATGGGAAAAATAACGGGTGTTGCTTTGAGCCCACTCATCAGTGAACGAAGCATTAGTTGTTCTTGGTGTCTGCCGCATCAAATTTGACTTGCGTGTATCTAATCATCTTTCCAAAGTAAAGCTAACAAAAAAAACCCAATCTTGTCGTGTTCCATATGTCACTCCTGAGCAGTTACATAGTGTTGATGACTGAACTGTCTTGCTTGGTGTTGGGTGTGTGCTTGATTTGCAATAATGGAGGTGGTTTCCCAGCAGAACATTGCATTCTGTCATTTGCTTCACCTGTCAGTGCTTTTAATGACCAGGCAATTATTTAATGAAAAAAACATTAGCAGTGTTCCCATAAAAATGAAAAGAACTGATCCAAAGTTGGAAAAGAATTCAAACCAGCACAATAATACATACATATAAAAGAACAAAATAACACCCATAGTCATGGCTTTTACAAGCCTTCAAAAGCGCTTCCATTTTTCTAAAACTACCCAAAATAAATCAAACAATAAATAATTTCAGAAAACAGCAATAAATAACAAACGCCAATGCAGGTGGGTGTGGCCTGAACAACAAGCCACACCCACACCCAGCCCAGAGATTCAGGCCACGCCCACTAGCAGTGGCAGGTGTCTCTGTGGCGTAATTGGTTAGCGCATTCGGCTGTTAACCGAAAGGTTGGTGGTTCGAGCCCACCCAGTGACTTTTTCTGCCTAACTAACTGGCCATGATGATGGAAAAAACAACATCTTTGTCATTTACAGCTATTGGTCAGAGAGTATTTTTTGAAGGTTACCAAGCAATTGGTTTGTTGTGCTTTTTTAATGCAACATCAAATGTGATCGTGCTGCAGTTTAGAAGTTTTAATGACTCATCGCAATCTTTCTAATTTACCTAATTCGCCCAATTGTTTTTAATCAGGACGTAATGGTTGGTATTGTTGCAGTTTTTCATATCATACAGTGTTCTGGAGATGACAAGAAGGAGATCTATTTTTTGTTTCTAAACTCACAACTCTAGCTACCATAGCAGTCTGAAGGCTCATATTGTCTGAACTATCTCAACAGCTGTGTGGATGGATTGAAATCAAGTTTCGCAGACATCGTAATCCCCCAGAGGCAGAACAATAACTAACTTTAGATGATCTTTTGGCTTTTTATCAGTTAATGAACAAATACCTCACTAACAACATTCACATCAGCCTCAGCTGCAACTTTTTTTTGCTATATTTACAAAATTAGCATTAATGTGCTAAACTAAGCGGGTCGACATGGTGAACATTTGCCATTTCACGTAAACATTATTGTGTTTGTGATCGTAAGTGCTTGTGCCTTGAATTTTATTTTGAAGCACTAAAAAAAGTAGTGGTCCCTAACCATGTATGCAATGTATTAATTTAGTATTGTAAATCACTCATGTTTGTCTTGCTCCCAGTTTGTTAACAGTTCATTGTTTGTTCACAGGCATCGCAGTGACTGAAGTCTATTTCAGTGTGTTTGCTCGCTGAGTAAGTCGCATTATTTATCTTAGCAGTCTTTGCAGTATCGCTCATTTTAGGGTTTTTAATTCTGGCTCTCCAGTCACAGGTGTGGTGGGTGTTCACTGACTTTTGCTGGTGGTGTGGTTTACGCCGGCTTATTTACTAGTGTGAGGTTTTTCATTTGAAGGTGTTTGGTTTGTGTTATCATTTCCGCAGTTTGGATAATCCCCCCTCCTCCGCCAGAAGTTGTTTGCTGTCCCAGTCTGCCCTGTCCTGTTGAGTTTTTGTTCTTAATAAACAGAGAGTTATGCAACAAATTCTCTAAATGAATCATGTGGTTTCTGGATTGTCGAAGCACTTCAGGCCAACACATAGAAGCGTTTTCTGATTTAATGCCTCTGTCAGCAGGAGGACATCATTTGTGTAGGCCCTTTTGAAAACTGTTCCAAATCCCTGTTGGGAAATAAATCTGTTTTAGGATGCGACCATGTTTAAAGCTTGGTTTGGTTTCAGGATAAAAACAGCTGGGTTAGGTTTGGGTTAAATTAAGTAGCTCCTTTGTCAAGATAAGCTGCCTTTTGTCAGGCACAATACACCTGGGAAAATGTTCGTATAAGTATTTTAAGATGCTAGTACTACAGCAACACTAGCAGCAGCAGCAGTAAGACTTATTCACCTTAATTCTTTATAGTTTCAGTTTATTTTTACTTCTTTAGAGTATGTGCACAACAACATGTTTCATCACTTTCCTGTCAGCTATATGAGCCCATACTTGCTGAATCATTACTCTGTTTTTACAGTAAGATTTGATAAAGTGTTTTTCAAATGTCTTGTCTTTCTCCTGTTAAATGGCTTTTCCTTGAATGAAGTCGTGTACAATTGTGGACAACTGAGACAAAATACACAAAGTCCAGTAACTGTAGTTACGGTTGTGACAGCAGTTCACAAACTAACCCTGAAAACAGTCCCTATGTTCCCATCAGACGAGCCAACTGTGGTATTAATACATAATACTTTTATCACTATTTTTGTTAATGTGTTGCTGCTGTTTTGCACCGATTGGCCACGACAGTAAAACCACCTGCCTCATGTTTTGTAGAGCCCCCTCATGCTGCCAGTACAGCTCTGACCAGTCCTCCTGAAGCGTCCTGCGGTGCCTGGCACTCAGACACTGGCAGCAGATCCTTTGGGTCCTGTGGTTGCCTCCGTGAATAAGGCTGCTCTGGGGGAAACCTAGTCTCTACACAAAATAATGTTCCTATACAACTAAACTGCATTCTCATCCAGGAAACCATCACTTGCATCCCTTGTGGAACCATTATTCTTAGACTTAAGTTTTCACTTGTTGTTTACTTTGGGTTTCACTTGCTTTTTGGCTCGGCTCAGGCACCGAAACTACGTGGTTAAGTTACGGAAAATATCATGGTTTGATTAACACTTTCACAATAATAAGTACATGTTAGAAGCTTGGTTATGTTTAAGCACCAAAATTACGTGGTTACGTTTGGGAAAATATCATGATTTAGATTGCAATACGAACCTTTCACAACACGTTTGACGGTTTTCCTCCATTTCATGGGAGTGACGCGTTCTGCCCCATCCAATGTATCACTGGTTTGCTGAAAAACAGGAACAGTAAACTAAGTTGAAATACATCTGTGATACGTGTCTCTCCTTCAAAACTTGAATGAGAAGGCAGTTTAGCTGTATAGAAATGTAATTTTGTGGAGACAGGGTTGTCCAGAGAGATGCTGGCAACTGGAATTTGGGGAGTTTGGAGGCTGGGTCAGTGTCTTGGCCTCTTGTCTTGTTCCATATGTCACTCCTGAGCAGTTACGTAGTGTTGACGACTGAACTGTCTTGCTTGGTGTTGAGTGCGTGCTTGATTTGCAACAATGGAGGTGGTTTCCCAGCAGAACATTGCATTCTGTCATTCATTTACCTGTCAGTGCTTTTAATGTTAGAAGCTGATTAATGAATAATATTACCACCATCTCCCCCCATCAGTGTTGCTACCCGACTGTTGCTCCTACACTAATTTCTCCGATACTACGTCCTTACTGTTAGGCTTGTTGTCTGCATTCACGCTGTGGACACTGTTTTTTATTTCCATACTGGCACTGATACAGTGCTGGAGGGTAATAAAGAGCAAGAATTGAGTCCAAACACTATAAAAGTCACAACTGCTGAAGAGCCAGCGGAGCCACGACATTATGTGTACACAAGATTACTCTTTGATTCATTCGTTTAATCATCTGCTGAGTGAGAGTTTCCATCAGCAGCACTCAAAACGCGGACATAAAATACAGTTTAATTTCCTACTGAGTCACAGAGATGTGCACTCTGAATGTTTAGAATCAATTGGGGGAAAAAAAGGAAACTTTATTGGCTGTACGTCCTTTACTTTAAAAAGTGAATCCAAGTCATGACCGGAAAAAAATACCCCCACAAGCCTCGCTGCAGGAGTGAAATTACAGAGCCAGCACTGCACCATATGCGTCTGTTTCCCATTTCCACCACCAGCACTTATCGTCCCGATTGACCAGTTAATTTCAGGGGCAAACTAATCAGCAAATGCCGATGCAAATTTACATGGTACATTAAAGAGAGCAACCGTGAGCTTCAGCGTTGATGGTCGGATTTTTTGGGCTGTTTTTTATTCATGATATGGACTCTTTTAGATGTCGGACAGCCTCATGTTTGGATGGAATTGCTGCTGCTGCTGCTGCTGCTGCAGGGAGTCCAATAAAAGTAATTCATTTGACATTTACAAAAAGCAGCACCCATGTGAAAAGGCATCCATCATGGTAATATTCACAGAACACTTAACAGACCTCAAAACAACTCGGCTCGGGTTAATGGCGCCAAATCAATACGGCTGATTCAGTCCTTTCCATAAACAGGGTTTGTTTTTATTAACCCTGCCTGGTGCTGGAGGAAAGGGTGAATCATAAAGAACATGATCTAATGTGTGTGTGTGTGTGTTTTCATGGTAGCGAGTGGACAGGACATGAGAACATGTTGTACCATGTATACAGCCAAGGTGCACTGACAGCAGGCAGCTCTGACCACAGGCATGATGAAAGACTGGCTCTTCACACAATACAACAACTGTTAGAAAACAAACGCACCTCTATTGCAGATAGTGATGAATTACATTTCAAAAATGAGCAAGTCATTATTATCCTGATTTGCATTTTACTTGTTGCTCTTATCTTATTATATTTAGAGATATAAAAATATGAAATGTTTGCATAGAAACAAACTGAGGGAGCAGAGCATCATTTATAGTTATAAGGTATATTCAGTCCTCTAAAGCAGAACTGTACACTGAATACCTTACATTATATCAAAACAAACACGCTAGTTGTGCAACAGACAAAATAATCCCATCACAAGGTGCATGTAGCTCTGGAGCTTTTAATTAGTTCAACCGTTCTTAATCACCAGATGGAAGTTTTCTAGTTGTCATATTGTATGTATTTTAATGTTTACACATAACAAAGATCAAGTGATATGATCAAAAGCTCCAGAACACTTATTAAACGTAAGTTACGCTAAAAGAAAAAGTTCACAGCTGCTGTTTTCAAAGTAAAGAAGGAACTTGACGACTGGTTGCTGGTTTCACTTTGAAGAAGCAGTGAACACATTGCGCAACATACAGGTTATTCTGAGAAACTACATAAAAGATGTTCTTCTTCATTTGACTCTGTTACTTTCAGTTTGTATTTTGAATCCTGTAAAAATGTAGTCAAACACTCCTATATTACTGCACTATTTCATTATTTGCTGTCTTCTGTTGGCATTCTGTTCACTGTTGTCACATTATACTTCATGAGATGAGTTTTTTTCTTCGGTTGCAGGTTTTTTTTGGTCTATTTGTGTGTGGGTGTTTCTTTCTGTAAACTGCAGTATATTGAGTTCTCAGGGCCAGAGCGACAAGAGCCCGTCCTCTGTCTCGTTTTGCTCGTAGGTAGAGGAAACAGAAGTTACACACATTAACCACAGGACAGCAAAGAGCTCTGCAGCTCTCATAATGAAGCACCTATGTGTCCTTACACTCATACATCTGCTCTGTGCTTGTACAACATGTGCATTCATCAATGAATCTTAGCAACTGTTCAGCGTGCATGTGTGCAGCATACAAGTGTGCAGTATTGTGTTGTCTGCATGTGTTTTGTAAGCATGTGCAAGCGCAAGTGTGTCGTGACAGCTCAGTGTGCCACCTTCTAACTTCCTGTCGTCTTGAATGAGAAGAAACCACAGACAGGTCACGTGACGCAGCAGGTCTGTGACTTTCCGTGTTCAGTTTGCGCAGCGAAAACCGTCGTTGTGAATCTTTTAACTACCGGAGCGTTTCTGTTATCTTTCGCCACGATGCTGATGAAATTCTTCCTGTAAAAGACGCACAAGAACCAAAAAAGAGGAAGAGGGAGGACAAGAGGAAGTGGATGTAGAGGTGATGGACACGACAGATGAGAAGTGCAGTCCAGTCACAGTCACAAATGGTGGTGAGTTTACTTCTGATCTTTTAACATATTTTGTTTGGAAATTGCTCCTCATTTGAAAACAATAAGCTAAAACAGAAATACCTCAGTGTGGCTGATAATTACACGCTACTTTCTGATTGCAAATGCAGTTTTATCTTGAAATATTTTCTTGTAAATATCTAATTTTGTCAGCAAAGTATAACAATCCTGTTGTAAATGTAGAAGGAAGGCTTCAGGTACCGTTTTAATTGTGAAGTCGTGACTAGATGTTTGACTGCTGCCACGTTTCTGTGTTTTGTGTCATTCAGCTTATCCGGTACGGTGCACTGAGGAAGTACTTCTCCCTCTCTTCATAGATGAGAGTCTGCAGGCTGCCATGGACTCACAGCGCCCTCCCGCCTCCAACAGCGTCCCACCTGCTCTTCCAGAACTCAGACTGGTCCTCCTGGGCAGGAAAGAAGCCGGGAAGAGCGCAGCAGGCAACACGATCCTGGGAGGAGCAGGAGGGTTCGAGAGCGGGAAGCCCACAGAGGAGTGTGTGAAAAGGCGAGCTGATGTTTCTGGGAGAAAAGTCACAGTGGTGGACACACCTGGGTGGGAGTGGTACTACCCTCTGAACAGCACCCCCAACTGGGTGAGCAGAGAAACCTTACGGAGCGTGTCGCTTTGTCCGCCCGGACCTCACGCTGTGCTGCTGGTTGTGCGAGCCTGTGCTTCTGTCACCGACGACTACATCCGAGAGATCGAGGAGCACCTGGAGCCGCTGGGAAAAGGAGTGTGGGAGCATACGATGGTGCTGTTCACCAGAGGAGATGAGCTGGGCCTGGGGTCCATGGAGCAGAGGATCCTGACGAGCGGCCCGGCGCTCCAGAGACTCCTCAAAAAGTGTGGCAACAGATACCACGTTGTGAACAACCGCAGCAAAGGAGATGGGACGCAGGTGAAAGAGTTGATAAGGAAGCTGGAGGAGATGGTGCATGGGAAGAAGGATGGCGGCAGTCATTTAGAGATGGATCATACAGTTCTGCTGGGTCTGGAGGCTGATGGAAAGAGGAGAGCCAGGGAGAGGAGAAAGAAGCAGCGGCAGATGGAGGCGCAGATGCAGAGAGGGACCATCAAAGCCGCTCTGATGAGTGAGTTCTTCACTTTGTTTTATTTATAGCAGTTGACAAGTCTGAAGTGAGATGAGACGAGATGAGTTAAAATAGAACGTTATACTGGCAATGTTTGTGAATCTGAGGCAGTAAAGTAATATTACACATGATATGAAAGCTCTGCACATGAAACTGTAATATTGTGTAAGCGTTGCACGTTGCACAGAAAAACTGTGCCTGAAAGTGAAGCATTGCACATGAAATTTAAATGTACATGAAACGAAATACTACACAATACTGAAACCGATACTGCACAAAACCTATCGAGAGACGTGATTGATAATATTGTTCAGATTTAGGTGTCAATCCTGCAGAAAGGGGATTATACATCATTACATTTCTTAATGAGACTCAGAAAAAATGTGTTGAATGCGTTGACGTTGGGAAATATACCAAACAATCAGTATGTTTCTCGTATAATTGCTGAATCAAACAAATGGCATTGAGTCTTACGGCTTGAACATTTCATTCGTTGCTGATTTTAATATAATTCATCAAATTTGTGCTTCTGTTGTCACCAAAAACGGTTATAAAAGTCATGTGCTACTTGCCTCATGTCAGAGAGCAGACAAAGAGAACAACAAGTTGGGAGGAAAAAAGTCAAACATTAAGCAACTACAAGCAAATATATTTTTCTCAGGAGTCAGGTGGCCAGAAATCTGACTTGGATCTGTTGTAGGGTAACGTTATTTCAACATATTAGATGACCAAAGCTAAAATAGTGCTAAAATGAGAGTAACTATTAGACAGAAACTCAGCCAAAAAATCTAAAACTGAATGTTCATGTTTGTCTGACAAATACATTGGTTTATAAATCAGAGGACTGCAGCTTTGGTTGTGTATCGATCAACTTGTTTTGCAGTTTTTTCTGCCACCCTAATGGCAAAATACTCCAGTTACTGCTGAAACTGTGGAGAGTAACACCACCTGTTCCTAAAATATTTACTGTATGGTTGGGTTTTACCAATATACTTGACTGGAGGCATCCACTTTCAGCATGAAAGCTCAGATAAACTCACTGTTTGTTACCTGCCAGACAGACAAAGTTATCAACAATCTGGTAAAGAAACCTAAATGCAAAACACATGAGCAACTTTGTAGGCCAAAACAATGATGTCAGCTCAGTTTGCTTGTTTTGGCTCCTATATACCAATAACTTTAATCAATGCAGTGTTACAATAGCTGAATTTAAATTATTAGAACACTGAAGATACGCACCTTTTTCCCTGTCAGGCGATGGTCTTCAGGGTTCTGAGCTCGATGCCCACCAGTCCTTCTCCAAGGCTCCCCGACGTCTGCCCGAGGTCAGGCTGGTTCTCCTGGGCGAGCGTGAAACTGGGAAGAGCTGTGCTGGGAACGCCATCCTCGGAAAAACGGGCTTCTTCCACGCAGGGGCAGTAACGGAGGAGTGCATCCGTCAGCAAGCGGAGGTGGCCATGCGGCTGGTGACTGTGGTGGACACGCCGGGGTGGGAGGCAGGTGTGGCCGGTGCTACGCCTGAGCGGGTCAAGAGGGAGATTGTCTGTAGCGTGGCCTTGTGCCCTCCAGGGCCTCACGCGCTCCTGCTGACTCTGAGGGTGGACACACTGGTGACTGCAGGGCATGTGAGGGAACATCTGGAGCTCCTGGGCGAGGGTGTCTGGAGGCACACGATCCTGCTGTTCACCCACGGAGATCAGCTCCGAGAGGGGGTGGATATCGAGCAGCACATCCAGAGCGGAGGCAGGGACCTGCAGTGGCTGCTGGAGAAGTGCAGGGGCAGGTATCATGTCATCAGCAGCGTAGATGGAGGAGGAAGAGGAGGCTCCACTAAAGTGACAGAACTCCTGGAGAAAGTGGAAAAGACGGCGACCATGAACAGGTGTGAAGCTTTCTCCGGTTTGGTTCAGGAAGTCAGGGATTTGAGCCGGCAAAGGAACGAGAAGTTCAACCAGCGCCTGAAGGAGATGGGAGATAAGATGTCTCGTCAGGAGGCCGAGCTGAAGAACATGAGAGAGAGGGAGGTGAAGAGCATCAGATGGTTCTTTGACAGAAGGAAGAAGGTGAAATCGCCGGGGAAGGCCGACATTCAAAGGGAAGAAGAGGAGGATGAGGACAGAAGGGTTGGCGAGAGGAGGAACGACATCGGGGAGCTCGAGGAGAGGATGCGGTGGCTCACAGAGGACCGAGAGAAAGAAATTCAGGATTTAAGCATAGAAAATGAGAGAATCCGTGTAGTGCTGAACCAAAGTCAACGAGAAAGGGATGAAATAATGCTGAAGTTGGAGCTAAAAGAGAGAGAGATCGAGGAGCTGAAAGAAAGAACCGACGAGCAACAACTAAAGCTTCTCGACCTTGAACGCGCCGGTGTTGAAATTGAACACGAGAGAAAGCAGAGAGACGATGCCATTAGAGTGAAGAAACAAGAATGGAAGGAGGAATTAGAAAAATTGGAAAGAACTATAGAGCTGCTCGCAAAAGAGAAAGCAGAGGAGATTGAAAAACTTGACTCTTTAAAGGAAGAAATGAAACAAACTAAAACACACTATGAGGATTCACTTGAGAGAAAAGCACAAGAAAAAAAACAGGAGATGGCAGAGATGGAGGAAAAACTCAAAATGGTAATGGAAACAAAGCTGCTGGAAAAAGATAAACAGCTGGAAGGGTTGAGAAAGAAAGCCTCCGAGGAAAAGCAGATAACGCTCGATAACGTAAAGCAACAGGAAGAAGACATGGAGAGCAAATTTGAAGAACTTAAGTCAAATCATGACAAAGAGATGGAGCGGAAAATGCGGGAGAAAGAAACAGAGATAAACGACATAAAACTGCAGCATGAGAAAGAGATGGCTAGAAAAAAAAGCGAGATGGAGAAACTGAAGGTTCAACAACAGCAAGAAATGGATAATAAGCTGAGAGAAACAGCAAATGATATGGAAAGACTGAAACAACAGCACGACGATCAAATGAGGGACGTACAGCGAGATAAACAAAGACAGATTGCAGAGCTGAAAGAGCAGTTTGCTAAAGAAAATAAGGAACACGTGCAAGCGAAAAACAAAGAGATAGCAGAGTTGGAACAAAAGCACATTGCTCTAATGGATGCAAGACGGCTCGAAAATGAAAAAGAAAAGGGGATGATTCATCTAAATCACAAAAAAGACACAGAACAACAGATGCTAGAGAAAGAAAAAGAGGTAGCGGCATTGAAACTGCAGCATCAGGATGAGATGGCAACAAAAATGAGTGAAATGGTAAAACAGATGGAGGCGAGGAGAGCCGAATATGAGGGAGAAATTGCTCGAAAAGTGAAACAAAAAGAGGAGGATGTAGAAAGTGCACAACAACAGTACTCTGAAAAATTAAGGGACATGGAGGAAGAGAGACAACGAGAGACGGAGGAGCTGAAACAACAGCTAGCAAATGAAATAGAGAAACATTTGCAGGACAAACAAAAAGAGATAAGAGACTTGGAACAACAGCATGCCGCCCAAATAGAAGAGATGAAGTTAGAAAACGCGAAGGAGAAGGAAATGATGAATCAAAACCATGAAAAGTACGTGTTGCAAAAGCTGCAAGAGCGAGACAGAATAACAGAGGAGCTAAGATGTCAACTCAGGAGCGAAATCGAAGAAAGTGAAAAGGAAAAAGAAAGATGCAAGAAAGAGATGGAGCAAACGGTGGAAGAGAAAGAGAAAGAGATTAAGGAGATGAAACTGAATGTAGAAGAAATGAAGGAGAAACTGCAACAAAAGGAAGAGAAAGAAAAAGACAATTTAAACTACAAGAAAGCAATGGAGCAACAACTGAAAGAAAAGGAAAAAGAAATAGAGGAAATGGGATTAAACGCCCAAGAAATGATGGAAACACTGCAAAAGAAAGAGGCTGATCATTTAAAATGCAAAGAAGACCTGGAGCAGAAACTGGAGGAACGAGGAGGAGAAATAGAGGTGATGGAAGAACGTGTAAAAGAGCTTATGCAACAACTGAGCAAGAGCGAACAGGAAAAAGAAAGGTTCAGTTTCAATCACAAGAGACAGATGGAGCAAACCTTAGCAGAAAACAACAGAACAATAGAGAAGTTAAAAGAGCACATAAATGACATAGATGAAATCTTGCAAAGAAAAGAAGAAGAGCGAGGAGAAATCATTCTGAAGCAAAAGAGAGAAGCAGAGCAAAGACTGCAGGACAGAGAACGAGAGATGGAGGAGATCAAGCAGCAGCTTTTGAATGACTTGGAGAGACAACTGAAAGAAAAGGAAACCGAGATTGAAAGCGTTAAACTGCAGGCCGACTCCAGAGAGGCAAGATGGAGGGAAGAGCAGAAGAAGACGGAGGAGAAAGCAGCGAGTGAGATGAATCAGCTGCAAGAAATCATCGACGAGAAAACAAAAGAAATAACACAAGCGCACTGTCTTCTTGCACAGAGAGACGGCGAGATCGATGAGGCAAAAAAGACATGTGCAAACTACTTACAAGAAATAGCAGAGGAGAAAGAAAGCAATAAAAACAAAGCCTCCAGCATCACTGAGATGCAGCAACGTCATACAGAGCAGGAGAGGAAAAAAGATGAGGAAATGATGGAAAAACTGCAGGAGAAAGAAGAAGAGCTCGACCGCCTCCGGCTAAGAGACACTGAAAATGAGAAGGAGATCGTCCAGCTGAGGCTAACAATCGAGCAAACAAAGTCAGAGCTGAAGGAGCTCACCAGTAAGATGGACAAAGAGATGACGAGCATGATTCAGGAATATGAAAATGAGATAGCGAGACAAAACGAGAACATAGAATCGATTGCAAAGGAGAAGGACGGCGCTTTAAGTTGCTTGGAGGAAGAAAAGCAGCAGAGCTTTTTGGTTGTCACCGAGAAATACGAGGAAAGTCGAAAGAGGGTCGAGGAGCTGCAGGAGCAAAATGAGAAGATGAGAAAAGAGGCAGACAATCTCAGAATGAGGTGTGAGGAGGTGAAAGAGGAGAGTGAAGAAGAAGCTCGGAAACATCTCAGGAGATGTGAGGAGAAAGTAAAGAACACCGAGGCTGAAATCCAAACTATCCTGAAAGAGCGGGATGTGGAGGTGAAGGCACTAAAGGAGGCCAATGATGAATTACAAGCAGAGATAGAGATGATGAAAGAAAGGGAAGGTGAGAGTGAGAAGCAGGTGAATGAGATGAGAGAGCATTTTGAGAAGCAGCTGATGCAGAAAGAAAGCACCCAGAGAACGAGGGTTGAGGAGAATTTCTTAAAAAGGGAAAATGTTCTGAGCAGCAATGAAGACGAGCTGAACAACAGAGGACAGGAGCTCGACGCAAAACAGGAAGAACTGGCTGCAAAAGAGATAAAGTTGGAAGGTAAAGAAGAAGAGCTTCGAAAACTGGAAGCGAGTCTCGAGAGAAGACAAAAAGAGCAAGAAGAAAAAGACAAACACAAGCAAGATGAAGTGAATCTGAGAGTGCAGAGTATGGAGAAAAAGGAGAGGGAGCTAGAGAGCTTACTGAAAGCTCTGGAGGGCAAACAGAGAGAGCTCAGCTGTCACGGCCAAGATCTGCAGAAGAAGGTGAAAGGACTGAAAGATCAAGGACAGGAGCTGAAGGACAGAGAGCATCACCTAAAAAACGAAGAGCAGGAGTTGCTTCACTGGAAGTCTGAGCTGCAGATTCAAAATGAGCACGTAAACTCTACGACGCAACAGTTAGATGAGATGGGAAGAGATCTGGCTTTGCTGAAGGAGGAACTTCACAACAAGGAGAAAAATGTAAAGGAGTCCCTTCAAAAACTGAGCAAATGGGAGCAGAATCTTAAAGAACGGGAGGGAGAGCTGCGCAAAAGAGAGCAAACAGATTTAGAGAATGAACAGCATGGCACTGATGATAATGTGTTTGAGAAGGACTCTTTGGATCTGGCGGCTGCAGCTGAAGGATCAGAAGACAGCTTGCCTATAATGTACCAAGAAGTCAGCGAGTTAAGGGAAAAGGGAAGAGGAACAGATAAAGAGGAAAGCGCAAAGGATAGGGAGGATCAGAGGATGAAAACAGCACCGTCAGATGCAGGGAGCAGCAATAACTGTCACCTTGAAACACTAAAAGAAATGACGGATGGAAAGGAAAGGATGAGAGGAAGAGAGAGGAGCAGGACAAAGGTGGGAAGTGCAAAGGTGAGCAGTGAGTTCAAGCTGCTATCTCTTAGGCAAGGAGCGTCACACGACAAAGAGTCAGACTTGAGGGTGGTGGTTCTGGGGGAGACCTGGTCATCTCGCTCCCCAGCTGGAGTCACCATATTGGGGGGAGTGGTGTCCAAATTTGATGGATCGACCTTCAGGCCGTGGAGAGGACAGATAGCCGGGCGACGCCTCGCTGTCGCTGAACCTCTGGGCCTGAGGTGGCGAGACGGACCGGATGCCACAAACGCTTCTCAACGGAAAAGCATCCTGGACAGCACCTCCTGGTGTCACCCGGGGCCTCACGTCGTCCTCCTGCTCATGCCGGCCTTCTTGACCTGCACACAGAAGTACAGAAGAGCCGTAGAGGAACACATGAGCCTGCTGGGGGAGGAGGTTTGGCAGCGCGCACTGTTGCTCTTCACATGGGGGGAAATTTTAGGAGAGAGCGCCGAGCAACACATCCTGAGGAACGGAGAACTGATGGGGCTTGTAGAGAGATGTGGGGGCAGGTATCATGTGTTGAACAGCAAGAACAGCTACTCCACGATCGAAGGACTATTCGAGAAGATAGATGATGTAGTTGCTCTGAACAGCAGAGAGCAGCTTTTGGTGTAGAACTGTAACGAGGATGAATCGATTTCACATCATGCTGTGTTTTTGTTTTTACTATGTGGATATATTTGAATAAATTTCCCCAGAAACAGAAGAAATTCTTGCATCTTAATTTCTGCGGCACAAATTTGTAGGTATTTTGATCGTTTCACTTCACGCAAAGGAGGCACAACAAAAAGCTTACCTAGACACTGACATTGTGTATTTTCTAAGCATATCACGTGTCTTTTATTTTGAAATCCTAATCTGAAAAGTACGACAGTGGTTGAATAAAAGTTAAATATTTTGCTAAAACACTCCAGTAAAGTACAATTGCGACACACACAATTAACATCTTGCTCACTAAATGATTCATAAATATTCATAACTTATTCATTCCTTCCAAAAAATCACATGAAATTCTGCCTGAGCTGCAAATCCAGCCTGATTTTTCAGACCAACCTTAGCTGACCTGCACCGTCACCCCCTCATGAGACGTTCATGTTTTCTCCACAAGATGGGGACCTTGTGTCAGTGTAGATATTGCTCTCTGCACACCAAAGTAATCAGCGTTGAAAGGCACAAATGCTAAGGAGTTGATGGTGAAAGTATAGTGAAGCTAGTCAAATATTTTTTTTATTTTTTTTTTAACCATGTTTTACCATTTTTCTGTGTAAATGGCTACTTTTAAAAGGAAGAGTACACAAAGCCTGACGAGCAGGCCTGTGCTCCGTCTTGACTGGAGGCATTTCAGGAGAACCAAACCGTCTCGCAATTATAACCCCAGGGAGCCTCCCGCACGCTGAGAGGACTCCTGCTTTGACAAGTAAATTATGACTCTTGATGAGAGGAGTACGGCTTTCTCAGAATGCAATTTTTGACAGCCAGGAAAAATGCGGCTTGATACATACAACAACTTCCATCATCCGCGGAGCCAGATGCAGCATCCAAAAACACTCGTGTGCAATCATCAGGCTAATAATTATGGAGAGTGAGTGCTGGTCTGTATCTAACATGGCAGCAATGTTTTTTAATCTGTCCATTCAATGTGAGCTGCCTTTAGAGGCGAGATGAGAGGGTGTTGTGTCAAGATGGATCTCTGCTTCTTTGATCATCTCTGCAGGGTGGGACTGTTTTCAAAGCATCTGGGGAGAAATTAGGGGGAAAAAAAGTTGCCAAATTGCAGCTGATGCAGACATAATTTTCATAATGTTTCACAGATATCAGGTATCCAACACATACTCGGCCCTAATATCCCATAAGCAATGCTCGCTTTCATTTTTAAATCCTTAGATTCATCATATATCTTTTGTAATATCACAGCAGTTGATTTTCTGATTGTAAGCTCAGATTGATTAGACGAGGAGAAAAATGGTTTAATTTTAGTTTTTGTCTCTCCAAGAAAAAAAAAACTAGATAAAATAATAGATAGATACAGTCCATAGGAAGAACCTAAACCTTTGACCCCCACAGTGAGGTGATCCGGTGGCTCTGTTCTGCTGTGGGGGGTAATTTTGCTGTCATGGTTTGGGTCCAGTTGTCCCCTGAGAGGAAGGGTCACCGCAAATCAACACAAAGTTGTTCTGAGTGATCACCTTTATGCTATGATGAAACATTTTCTATCCTGACCGCAGCAGTGTCATCCAGGATGACAACGTGGCCACACACAGGGCACGAGGAGTCACTGAGTGGTTTGATGAGTATGAAAATGACGTGAATCATATGCTGTGGCCTTCACAGTCACCAAATCTCAACCCAGTTGAACACCTGCGGGAGATTCTTTTGGCTGATAGATAGCACTCTGGACCACCATCAGCCAAACACCAAATGAGGGAACATCTTTAAAAAAGAATGGCGTCTGTTAATTCAACAGAGTTTAGAGGCTTGTAAAGTCCATGTCAAGGAGCAACTGTTCTGGTGGCACCTGGAGGCCCAGACCAGTGGACATTTAGGGGGACAGGGTCACGTTGTTGCACACATCCATCCAGAGCTGGAAATGGTGGACAGTGAAGTGTCTATGGTCCTATGGATGCCAGCATCCAGCACGCCAATGGCCCGATGTCACCTTTCTCTGGTCATCATTCTAATAAAGTTGCATTTTAAGAGGATTCTTGTAGTTTGGTTATTGGTCACGCTAACTGATCATTGTCCACTATTGTCATCGTTGTTAAAGCCACATCTGACTGGGTTGTGGTTGGTCGAGAATCTGCCACCAGTTGAACAGCTAATTTGTGCACAATTGAACTTGAATCGAACTTTTTCCTCCAAGTCAGAAAAGAAAACCTTTTGTATATTTTTGTTCTGTGTAGACAAAGGTAAAAATTTGTAGAGCGCAGTTTTTGTTAACTCAAGACAGAGCTGGACAATTTTTTGTGCTACATATAACATAACAGCCTGTTAGAATAGCCTTGCACAAATATTAGAGACAGGGAAACAGCTCGTCTTGTTCTGTCCAAACATAACAAAGTCTCACAAATTGACAGTTTACATTTAGTTTCGCTGCACAAAAATCGACGTGTGAAAACGTCTCCGCTATGGAAGGTCACCAGAGGGTTATTTCATCACTGATCTCTCAGTAAGAAAGCAAATAAAGCATATTTAATTTAATGTTTCCCTAAGAGTGGCCATTTTACGTCTTTGATGTTGCAACAAGAAAACATAGAATATGTGGGTGTTTCTTTTAAACACAAGTTGTTTTCCAAAGCTTCTCTTTACAAAAAGCACATTACTGAGCCTGACTGAGAGAAACTGACGATCTAAAGGTTTAGGACCTCAAAAATATAAGCTTGCAAAATGTGTTTTTTTCAGCTAAACTATGATCCCCAAAGCCAATCATGCTCTTTCTTCTTTCCATTCAAGGCCATTCAGGAAACAAAAATCATCACTATATCTGTGAGTTCAAAGGTGAATTCTTGCTCCGTATCAGCATTGTCACGCTGAATGGTGCAAACAGTGGCTGATGAAACCACTCTTGGGCACTCATTTCGGTTTTAGCCGGCATTAGTTCAGATTAAAGCAACATGGTAACCCTAATTTATCTTTATTTGGAGCTTTTTAAGGTTCTGAATGAGGCTTTTTGGGAAATATGGATGGGGCCACATTTACATGCACCACAATAGACAGGAACAGCACAGTCAATCATGTCTACAAATGTTGGAAACAAAATTACCGGGCTGTGTTAAAACAGAAGTTAATGGTTTGGCTGATTTCTATTAAGGACTGTGCACTCTCATTTGAATAATGGTCTTTCCAACACTGTTTTTTCTTCTCAGTACTTGACCCAGGAAGGAAATAAATGTGATTCCGCTTTAACACCTCCATTAATATTCAAGTGGCTTTAATATGCCAGGTTTAATTCGGACGCACAGTAATTAGCACGGCAGCCTGGTGCTAGTTTATGATAAATCGGGTTCTGATTGTGCATTTCGCGGAGGAAAAAGTATCATTACAATGAATGAAAAATAAAGGAAAGAGTAGCTGGAGAAGATTATTTTTAAAAGCAATTATTTTGCTCCCTGTGTTTGAAGCTGATCAATCTCAACAACAAAAACGTGATTTTCTTGCATGTGAGCTGGCATTTTAGCAAATTCCAATCAATTGCGTCTTGCTTTGAATTAACCTGTTTATTTTCATATCAGGTTAATTTAAACCTAATTTCTTGCTCCTTTGTGGCTATTGACACAAGAAAACTGGCTCTGCTGATTTACCTGTGCACAATGTAAATTCTTTGTTGTCATTCAATTTAAAAGGGGTTCATAAGCGGTAAAAATGGATCTACTTTAACAAATGCTATTACTAATTTATAGATTCGTTAAATGATAATGCTTCTGGGTTGCCAGGTTGGAGAAAATCCATATTCACCAAAACACATTCTGTTTGTGTCTTAAGATTTTCTCATTAATAGCTTGCAACTAATCTTTAACGTATTAGAAATAACCAGCTAACCATTAATAAAGCACGTTGAAAACTAGCAATTATGTTTTCCAGGTGAACACTGTTGGGATTTCACAAAATATTTTGGGACATTACGCGTTTTACTTCCTTTTTCTGATGATAGGTCTGAGTCGCTAACAAAGTATAGGTGGCATCCAGGTGGGTGGAACAGTCGGTATATGCATGATCTTGGTTGCAAAGGTCAGCACTCTTCCCTCGAGGGCAACGATTTATATTGAACCTGATGGACCATGAGGAGTTCCAGATCTGCCCCCACTGTCCCCAACTCCACCACCTCAGCCACCTCCCAGGGGATACATTTAGATAACGTTAGCCTTTCAGAATTAGAAGGACCACTTCAACCAGTTACGTAAACCACCCATGATCCCACACAGGCCCTCTGGAGTCTGTACCCAAAATAGTTTCAGTGTGAGGGAGGGCCAAAAGAGCACAAAATGTTCCTACTGTGGTGAGGAGGTGGCCAGATGTCTGAGCGAGCAGACACTTAAACTCTCGCTGATCTTTAAACAAGAGTGCTCTTTTATGAATTGTTTATCTTTTAACTGTGTGTTTGGACGGTGGTGGTCGCACAGAATTAGGGGGTTTGTTATAAATATACACAGAAATGATCAGGAATGTCTGTGTTTAGGGGAAAACGTAACTGATTTTATCTCCAAAAACAACATCGGTACCCCAAAATAGTTGAAAAGCAAGAGCGGGCCACAAAAGATGTGCAGGTGGAAGAGTCAACTTTAGCTGATATTGAAACAAGTTTAAGTCATCATGTGTGAAATTAGGTGAAATTATAGGTTTTTATAGACGTTATTTATGTCACCCAAAATACATATTCATTATAGTTTCTATAGATTTGATCAAAAACTAGAAAAGAGAGAGGATTTGTTCCATAATTTTGGCTTTTTTTTTTTTTGGCTCTGTGTATTTTACTTCCTCTCCTGAAGAGGGAGGAGAGAGAGAGCAAGGAAGAGGAGACGATGCCGCAAATGATGAATCCCCCTCTGGACTGCATCCTTTCCGACTGAGTGCGTCCAGTGGGCCAGAGCCAGGTCCTGGAATCTAGCTAATGAGACACACCCCCCCAGGGCCCGGTGCCGTCCTATTGGCTGAGAGCCTGGCGGCAGCCAAGACGATTGGCCGATCGAGTCCGGTGCAAGCAGCTGTCAG